ATTTTTCATCGCAAACAGAGGTTTTCGATCGATTCCTCTCATTCCGGAGTAAATATTTCCGGAGTAAACAGTTCCGAGGCGTAGTTTCATACGATTCGACAGACTAGAAAGGACTTAAACGAACCAATTTAAAACCAACATCAAATCATTCGTCTCTAATATCGTCAACATTCTCTGAGATCTCTGATTGGATTCGGAACATAATAATTCAACTAGATTGCTCCGTTGCGTTTAGCCTGACTGCGAGATCTGTATGGATGCAGCTGCTTAATTTTTTACCAATTGATTGCCATGTCCCTGAGAGTTAAAACAAGAGAGTGAGGACAGGGTGAAGAAAGCTTTCTCAAGTTCCGATTCCTCGTACCGGTGCTCGTGCGCAGTCGTAGATTTGACTAAGCACAAGCACTGATCGATATTGTCCAAGAAAAGATTCAAAAGCAACCGGATGCTAGATGATCTCCGAGTTGTTATACGAATTCTCGCTGCGAACGTGCTCTAGTCTTTGCGAACAAGTAATCGTAGAGCAAGTTATGCATCGTAGTTGACGTGCATAGACGCGAGCGTGAATCACGAGCATTCCATGTAACGCCATTCTTCAACCTTGACCAGCCTGTGCTGGTCGTCAGGATGCCCTTCCGCGAGCAGTAAGCCCGGAGCAGGCGAGAACAGAGCCGCAATTTGCGTAATTGCGATGCCTACCCTTCTCTCGGCCGGCATCTTCTTTCGAGCGAGACACGACTCTGTTCAAACCCTTGCGGCCCTTCGACTCCGCGGCGAGCGTGCGCGCTTTATAAACGCCTTTCCTGGGAATTTCGCAGCTATCTGACGACTCCCCTAAGCTACCTATACGCGGCTCGTGCTACGCCAATTAGCCGTATTCGCGCCTTCGATACCTTCTGACGGCTAATGCCTGGCATGGCCGGTGATTTCCGATCTCCCAGTCGATTGTAAATCCCCGGGACCCCCCGATACACCGGCGTGTCTCGATACTCGATACCGCGCGATACCGCGTTTTTCGCTCGTCGTACTGCTCGTGCATCCCGGCTATCTGCATAATGACACGCCGATTTACAAGTCGATCTCGCTTTCTATCGAAGCCGAGCCGCTATACACAACGACAACCTTACGTAAATCACTCGTTTCAACACGGTACCTCGGTAAAACGGCCGGTGTTGATTCTATTCAACGCTGACTCAACTACGAGTATGTTGTACGTGGCCGACTGGCAAATGTAAATTACGAACCTAACCAATAGTATCTCCACTACTACCACCGCTTCTTGCAAATCGTAATCCACCGGGTGGCTAGAGGAAAGTAAAGACATTGATGAAGGTGGTGAAGTTAATTCGGGTTGTATCAAGCGATCTCTATTTCCGGCATTTCGTTTCCTCTTTTTTTTTCTTCTTTTTTTTTTTTTTTTTTTTTTCGTTAAACAAAATTCTTCCCTTTTTTCTTTCCCTTTCCCTTCCCTTTTTTTCCTTTACGAAAATTCTTTATGAAAGTTTAACAAAATAACAAGAATAACACGGCGAAGATGAAACAAACATTGACGTTAATGTCAAGTGACGTGATTCAAATTCTACGTTGGGTGACCTAATATTCCACACCAGTTACGAACCAGTTATCGTTGATGAACAATCTGAGGAACGACGCAGCGCATTCTACGCATAATACGCAGGGAACCAATGAAGACAACAATGCAATACAACGATACGGCGCGGTGCAGGGTTAATGTCGCGATGTGACACAAACAACTTTTCGCATTCTCCGTTGGCCGATCGTTGAAAATCATTTCTGAGAATGATCACGAGTCGTTTGTGTATCGCGTGCATACATGTTCACGTGTGAGCGGGCGCAGGCGTTCCCTTCTTGGGGTCCCGCTACACCAGAACGCATCCCTGTGTTTCGGTGCGCTCTGAACGCGAGATCAGCAAATCTAAGATCGTGCAACTGACGACGTGTCGGCGGCCTACGTTGCGAATATTCACCACCGAGGGAAAGAAGGAGAAGGAAACTGTCCATGCTAGAGTACGAAAAGGAGGGAGGGAGGGAGGGGGGAGGAAGTGAAAGAGAGAAAGACGATGAACGGCAACGGCGGCGCGGTGGCTCAGTGGCAGCAACGGCAGCAACGGCAGCAACGGCAGCAACGGTTGCGAAACGAAGAGTGAAGGATGAAGGAGACCGACGACTGGCGAAGAAGCGAGAAGGGTCGAAGAAGCAGAAGGAAGGAGGTGGAATGCGCGGTTCTCGAAGGAGGAGCTGTCGGCGGTGAAAAATCACGCACCCTGCTACCACTACCATGGACAGAGCATCTGCTCTACATACCCTGGCTCTCAACCTTCGAGAAGGGAACGTTCAGCTCTCATCTTTCACGCGCCGACTCGCCTCCCGATAATCGGTTGAATGCACCTGCGTTTCGTTCGCCAACGATACAACCGCCTGTATCCTGCATCAACATCATTTTTCGATGTTTGCCCGTAGGCTAATCTCATTAAACGCTTCTTTCGTTTAGAGAACTGGTTGCCGTATCGGAACCGTGAATACCTTACGAACGCAACTAATATTAAGATCAAACGAACGTTGGCAACGAACGTTCGTGAAACAAATGTTGAAACGATACGGATCGTCAAGAGAGGACGCACGCGGGTTTCATCGGATGCGTCAAATTTATCGAATGATGGATTAATAATAATCGAGTGCTAGATTAACTTATATGTTCTCTCTTACGTTCTCTCAGTTTATCATATGACTTTCCGACACGTTTCTCATCGAGATCTCTTGGCCTTAGAAAGTACGTAGCTGGTAGATGCGTACATACGCTATTTAATCTTGATAATATTACAACAATGTCTCGAAAAGAAAGGGAATACTTGAGCGGACGATACAAAACAGAAACAAGAGCTGGACAATATAAGAATAAGAATGAAAAGATAGGTGGAGCCATTCGTTATCGCTGGAGAAGGAATTCATCAATGAGAACCTCGAAGATGCAACGCGGCGCACGGTGTAGTAGAGCAAGATATACGTGCGCTGCCTGGGCTACCGGTCGGTCGGGTCGGGTCGCTGTTCTCCTGTACTCCGTCTCTTTCTTTTCTTCTGTTTTTCTGTATCTCCTTTCGTTCTCCTCTTTCCACCTTCGCGGAATATCTCGCTCGCTCACCCTTTCCACCTTCCTCGCTACCTCTCTGTCTTTCTCTCTGATTGCCAACTCACTCCATCGAGTTGTTGTTCCACTGTTTTATTACTTTTATAAATGCCGCCGCCGCCGCCACCATGCTACCACCACCAGCATTGCCGACCATGAGCACACCGCAATATCACCACCACTCACCACCACCACCACCACCACCACCACCACCATCACCGTCACTATCACCACCTCCACCGTCGCCATCGCCGCGCTGCACCGTCGCGTCGTCGCCGTACCGTCCGCCGTTCGTTGCGGCGGGTACTTTCTTTGTTGATCGTGCCACTGTCCATTGTTGCTCGCCAGAAAGATGCGAATTTTAATTCGATATTGTCTAATATTATTTATGTATGCACGCGCTAGAGAACCTGCCCACTTCAAAGCGCGTTCCCTTGCACCCTTACAGTCGCGCCGCTCGCTACCACTTCTTTCCTTCCCCTCCACACGAAACCGAACCGCCTGCCTATGTATCGTGCGATGAATCGACTCTCGTGCCGCCTTCGGCCTTCGACTTTCCATTCTGCTATCACCGCGCGCCGCCTGCGCCTTCCCTTCTTGCCTCATATTTTATGCAGATTTTTCGTTTTTTTTTTTTTTTTTTTTTTTTTTTTTTTTACGGGCTAGAAATCATCGCCAAGATATTCCTATTCCCAGTATAGCACGGTTCGTGCTTGTACTAGATATGTACCAACATACATATGTACCTTTCACACGAAATTACTAGTTCCAAATAAATCTACACCAAACATTATCGCCAATTAATACTTTTGACATTTCCTCGCATCTCTAACAGAGAAGAATCACAATTGTACACTGTACTTCCATGAATATTCCACCTCTAATATTGTTGGTTCAATTTCGAATCTTCAGTCTTTAAAATTCTGTATAACAAAATAGTATTGGTCTTTTAAATGCAAATTCATGTCCTATCTGCTTGAAAATTTGGCTAAAACTTCAATTGTGAATAAAACGATAAGTAACTCTAAAGAGTGACCGCCATTCAATCTCATCGTCGAAATCAAGCTGTGTTCAACTTAATGATGGATGACTATCTACCTAGAAACTTAATGCGCCGTTTACTTTGGCGATTAATTTCATCTGAAAGTAGGTCTCCAATTAACAATAGCGGTAAATTAATCATGGTTAACGCGAGGAATAACTTTGCAACCAAGTTTTATCACTTCGCCGATTTAAGGATGTACCGATACCGAAGCACGTTCCTCCTGCGCGTTAATTTCAAAATTACAAACAACGAGCAAAGTTCAAAAAATTAACGTACCATATAGATATTTCTTTCGAATTTTCTAGATAAACAAGTTTTCTTCATCGGTTCAATCGTTCGTTATATGTATCTGTCTAAATCCATCAATAAAATTTTCAAATCAATTATTCTATATTCGAAGAAAAAAAAAAATAAAACAATGATTTTCATATACTTATCAAAAAGATATACTTATGATAAACAACTGAATAACCAATTGATGAACCGAAAACCGTAATTACGATTCGATAAAAATGAAAGCTATTATACGTACTTAAACTACGTTTAATATTTATAATTCATCAGATGATTCAATTAATTCGCTGAATTAAGAAGCTACAAGAGATTGGTGGGCACGATACAAGAGATAGAATCGACCGTGTGATAGACTACTACATACTTTAACACGATCTCGGACGAGGGTTGGACGGCGTAAGCGTTGACTGTTTAATGTCGAGTTCAGTTTAAACGGCGACCAATTACCGCCAAGTCGTTCCGTACGTTCCTCGAACGGAGCCGAGCCCTGCTGTGAGACTTGCGCGTACGTGACCGTCTCTACCTGGAAATCAATATCAGCCGATATCCAGGTTCACTTGGCACTGCAGTCACAACAGAATGCGCAACAGTTGCGTCTGAACAAGATAGAGGCAGGTATACATCGCGGTCGATCCCATTATTGTTCGCCCAATAACGGTTCGCCCAGTAAAGTTCTTATTCTCCCTTGCCACGAACGAGTGTCGAACATGTGAACTAGAGAAAAAGCCGCGGTGAATAGAACGCGTGTCGCGTCGCGTCGCGTCGCGTCGCGTCATGTCAAACAAACGAAACGATTCGACGCGATGAACGCGAAAACCTTGGCCTCCGGGCGCAACGTGCTGCGATCATGCAAGATGCAAAAACGTACGAGAAACGAACTGTGAACGCGTTTCAATTGCAAACTGCCATCGACATGTCAGAGAAAAGGCTTTCCATGGGCATCAACGTTAGCATTCTCGTGATACTAACTATTTTTGGAGTGTTGCTTTCCTTGCCATTGCGATTGCTTTTGAATACCAATTACCATGAAAGTCGAAATAAAACACTCGGTGAGAATAATACGATACTCGCAACAGAGAGTATAACAGTCAAGACAGTAGTGATCCCGGTGGATCATCGAAAGTTGAAACGGTGCCCAAAATTCGAGTACGAAGATAGATTAAAGTCAGTTTTTCAAAGTGATTACGATGGAAATTGTACTTACATGCGAGTCTGTATAACTAACGATTCCAAGCAGAAGAATAACGGAGAGGATGAAAACGAATCTGTTAACCGAGAGGACAATGAAACGTTTAACGCCTTGAAGGAGATCGTCAGTGAGAATTTGACGAAAAAAGTTGAAGAAAGTGGAAAGGATCGTCGAACGAAATCAGTCCTGGTCGCCGGACACATTCTTGTAACGATGCTTCTCATTTCAGCAATCGCTGCTCTCGTTGAAGTATTGCGAATACGTTTCGCCAAAGACAAGGTATTACAGCGGAAACCGCATTAGTTTATCTTCCAATCTTTTATCTTATCAAATAATGATCTTATATATATATACCTATATACCTATACCAATTTCGTGATTTCTTTAATTTCGTGACGTACAATTTCTAGTGATTATACTTTTTCGTCGTTGCAAAGCCAATCAGTGTAGATACGTTACAGGTACATTTAAGGGGCAGGGATAGAGATGTTCGTTTAACGAGAAACGTTCGAAATGAATGTTCCTTGAAAGCTATGTAGCAAAATATAAAGAATCGGTGAAAATAATAATCATAATAATAATAATGTGCAAACTTAAATTTCTTGGTTGTACCACACTGTAATCTGTGTAAATTCATAGTGCACAGAGAATCTTGACCGATTAAGGTATTTAAAGAACGTTATGAAATGTTACTTATAGAATAGAGAGAATTTTTAGAAGTAGAAATGCCATTAAATAGATTCTTAAGATGTCACAGATTAAACACTACCGCAAGCATATGTATATCATAGCTAGTTAGTAGGATACTGGTTAAACACAGTATAGACATGTAATGTTATATTATGCCAATAAGTAGAACCGTATTTTTGTAAAAGAGGATACAACGAAACGTTACACTGATTGATTTCACACGCACCGAAATACATTTTCTCATTCTATGTTATATAACAAAAAA